ATTTGGTAAAGATTTACTTTAGTTCATTTGGTTGACAATCTGAGTGTGTCACATGAAGTTAGTGAGATTTAAAACTGACAATTTTGTAGAAATGTTAACTGGAGTTTACCTTTGATGAGTCAGAACCAACTAGTTGATGTGATTTATTTTGCTACAGTTGTGGTCTTTAATCTTCTTCAGCAAGGAAACATCTCAAAAGCATTATGCGGAGAGCAAGTTGGTACACTCATTGATCAAACCGGAAGATAAGCTGATCAGTGAAATTCTAATTTGATGCATTTACTAGTTGTGATCACAGATGTTAAGCCACAGACCAATTTCTATAGACTGTAAAAAGTGCATTACAAGTGCACATGTAGACTCAGCTGTTGCATCACTTCCTAATGAGGCTTCAATTACTCTATTGTCATATGAGACTACAGTGAGGTGGTTCTAACCTTTGATGGTTCTTACTGATTATTCTCTGAGTCAATTTCTTCTTTGATGATCTGCATCCAGTGCGGTGCCAATGTCTCTTGTATTTGAACATTAAAGTTGCCAGATATGGTTACCCGCTACAGTACTGGAAGTGTAGTATAAGTAGAACTTAGGAGGTACAGGCAGTTACTTGAAAATGCTTAGTGAGCAAGATTTACAGTAGGAAGTCTTCACAAGCCGAAAGTTGTTTATCTGTATGTACTTGTCTTCAGTTTTTCAGAATTTGTATTGCCATTCGGCATTGTAATGCTACAAAAACAAAAACTGATGCCGCGGAAAGGCCTCTGCTTCCTGTATTCCAATAGCATAATGCAGCTGTTAAATGTGGATTTTTTTCAACATTCCTCATGCTTCTATCATGATTTTCTTTTTCTTACTTGTTTGATTTTGATTAAGATCCCCACCCAAGACCATCGGATGTATGAGATTTTGGGTGCAGGTGAAGAAAACGAGACTGTATAGACTTAGAAATCATTTGATAAACTGATTCAAATGTCAAAATTACATTACAGAACTGTAATCTAAATAAAGCAATCACAAAGATGGGAAGATCATGAGACTGAGATCTCAACTACGACAATGAAAATCATGAAGGCTTACACATACTACAGAGGAACACAGGACAAGCAGAGGATCCAAGGAAGAGCTCGCAAGAGAAATGGAGGGATGATACTGCTAGAATGAGCAAATCTACCATTGGCAATGAAAGATCAGTATCACGGCAGTCCATCTTCAGTGGTAGCGAGAGAAGGCGAAAGCGAATTACGGGATTCATCATATTCCTCCCCTAATGGAGACTGCTCCACCCTGATATCTTCAATCATCTTGGCTACTTCTGCCATTGTAGGCCTCTTCTCTGGCTGCGGCACCACACATGCCAACCCCACATGGAGCATTGCCACAAGCTCATCCTCAATGTTCTTGTACCTTAGAAGCTCTTGATCGAACACTTCTGCCGTCCACTCTTCCTTCACCACCGATCGCACCCATTTTGGAAGATCCACCGTCTGCTCCTCTTCCTCCATCCGAGCCCTTGTCGGTGAAGGATACTGCGATGGAGCTCTCCCTGTAAGCACTTCCAACAACAGGACTCCAAAGCTGTAAACATCAGCGGGCTGAGAGAGCCTCTTCACCTCAGCCTGCTCAGGAGCTCTGTATCCACCCAATCTTGCTATGGCATGAACAGGGTTCAGAAGCAGAGACAACCCGAAATCAGAAATCAAAGCAACCCCATTTTTGTCAAGAAGAACATTCGAAGATTTCACATTTCCATGGGGAATTTTCGGGGCACTGTACTCCTCGTGAATCTTAGCCAACCCTCGAGCCGCCCCCAACACCAAGCTGATCCTCGTCGTCCAATCCAACGGAATCCTCCCCGGACCTCTGTTCCCTGTTCACATCAACAAAATCAAAGAATTATTCAAGAAAAAGCAAATTCAGTAACAAAATTGAAGATAAAACTCAAGACACCAACCATGGAGAAGATAATGCAAACTTCCATTTGCAAGATAATCATAGACAAGAAGTTTTTCTTCTTTTGCATAATAATAAGCTCTGAGTTTCACAATGTTCGGATGTTTGATCTTTCCGATTATATCCATGTACTGTTCAAACTCCTTTCTCGGACATGGGTTCGCGTCCTTGAGCCTCTTCACAGCCACCGTGCTACCATCGTCGAGCACCGCCTTATACACTGTCCCCAAGCTTCCTTTCCCCAGCATTTCCGCTGATGCCCGCAACAAATCTTCCAACTCAAATTTCCTTCTTTCAAAAAACACAAGCCTACTCCGGTCCGTGGCAGTAGTCCCATCGCTATCAGCACCGCCACTGGCGTAGACCTTCTTCTCGCTACCGTAACTGCTCCCGCTCTTCCTCCTCTTCCCACTCTCACTCCCCACTCTAGAATCCTCTCTCCGGTCTTTTCCACAGTAGTAAGCGACGACGAAGGACATCACGACCAACAATGCCACGCAATTCGCCACTACAATTGCCACTATAGCTCCGGGGCCTAACCCTTTCCGGGCCTTGTCCTTATCTTGACCGACGATCGGTGTCTGAGGCATCGAGCTGGGGTTCGACGGCACGGTCTCCGACGAGGCCACCGGCGGAGTCCCGGTGAAGGAGCAGACCGGCAACGGACTTGACCCACATAGCCCTTCGTTACCCAGAAAGCTCCGATCTCCGAATCTCTTCAACAACCCATCAGGTAATCGCCCATAAAACTCATTGTTAGTCAAATTAACCTCCTTCAGAGTTCTAAGAGAAGCCGAAAAATCCGGGATTTGACCAGTCAGTTCGTTGTTCTGTAACCGCAGGGTCATGAGCCGGCCCAATCCAGAAATTTCCTTCGGAATGGAGCCACGGATGTTGTTATCGGATAAATCCAAGCGGAGGAGCCGCTTTAACAGTGAAATTTGAGGCGGAATCTCGCCGGAGAAGTCGTTACCTGACAAATAAACGAGCTTCAGGTTAGTGCAGTTGGTGAGCGACTCCACCGTACCATTGAGGCGGTTGTCATGGAGGTCAAGGATGCGGAGCTGGTCGAGGAGGGAGAGCGAGGTAATGGGTCCACGAAGGGAGGAGGAAGGGAGTGAAAGGGCTATCACTCGACCCTTCTTGGAGCACCTAACCCCACGCCACCGGGCGCAAGCGTCGGCACCAGTCCAATTGGCGAGAAGGTTGCCGTGGGTATCGGTGCGGAGGCGGAAGAGGGTGAGAGCATCGGTGTCGTTAGGAGGCGGAGAGGAGTGAGAAAGAAGGAAAGAAAGACACAGAGTGAAGCAGGGAAGGAGAAAAGGATAAGATTTGGGCATTGTTGTGTTTTTCGAGCGGGAAGAGGAAGTGAAGCAGAGTGTTTTTAAAAATGTCCCCCTGTTTTTATTTTCTCTTTTTTACAGATTTACACAGAGAAAGGGGAGACAGAGGAAGAAGTCTTTATCTTTTCGTTTTCTTTTTCTTTTTCTTTTTTCCTTTTTTTAAGGAATTTGTTTTAGAGTACATTTTATATTAAATCATAAAATATTTATTATTGTTAATTTATTGATTTGAATATAAAAAGTTCAGTATTTTTTAAATAAAAATTTAAATTCAAGTTTTATAATAAAAAAATTTGAATTAAAAAGGATTTTCTACATGATCCAATAAAATTAAATTTTAAATTAGTTTCATTATAATATAATTTTTAAATATTGAGAATTAATATTAAAATAATAAAAAATAAATTATTAATTATTAAATAAAAAAACTCTCAAATTAAAAAGTTTAATTTTATTTAATAATTAATATTTTATAATTTAATATAATATAAATTATATAATATTTCTTTTAAATATGGATTGGATGTGGTGTGAATGATTAAAGTTGTGTTTAATAATAATTATTATTTTGTCTGTTCAAAGGAAAAATATGATTAAAGGTGGCATTAGAAAATGGAATTGGGAAAGGGGTGTAGTTGTATCAATGATTGCTGTTCTCCACTCCTCACAATTGAAATGAGTAAAAATATTCCCAAGTCAGAATTCACTTTTTCCAACTTTACTTGGCCAATGCTTCTGGGTTCTCTGCAGCTGTCTAGATGGCAAATTGCTATAAGAGCATGTTGGGTTAAGTTTTTAAGGATTTTAGTTTTTTAATATTATTTATATTTTATAATTTAAATATTTTTTAAAAAAAGTTATGTTTTTAATTTTTTTTAATTTAAAAAAAAAATCTAACAATAAAAATTTAAAAATTTTAACTCCAAAATTTTCATAAATTTTTATTTATTTATTTTTTACTTATTTTTTTATCTTTAAAAATAATTTTTAAATTTTTCCCCCAATAAAAATAATTTTAAAATTTTTCTCCAATAAAAAACTAAATCAATCATGCTCTAAGCCTCCACAAAAGATCCATCTCATTTTTAGGCGTTGGAATCAAATTTTCATCCCTTAAATTTACACTTTTTCAAAGACAAAATATGCTTATGTGTTCTGCTGTGTCATCGTCTCGCTCCCTTACTGTTTTGAAACTAGCACAATTTGGGGATGGAAAATGAGATAATGAAGTTTTAAACCTTAACTTTTAGATGTTATTATATTTTTTAAGAGTTATGGTTATTAAAATATGATAATAATTGACTTGATTGTAATTAATTTATAAAGTTTTTTAATTTGTGTTTTAAAGAATAAGTTATAAGCATATTTATTAGATATTTTTATTATTAATATACATAAAAAAAATTAAAGTTGATATTAATGTCATTAATTGTTCAACGAAAAATATTTACAAGATACGAATATTATAATTAGTATTAATTTTTTATTTTTTATAAATTAATGTCTAAAAATACATTTATTACAATTTTAAAATATAAGCTAAACAAGCCTTTTATTTTAAAGTTTGAATTACTCACATTTATCCTGAAGTTAATTATTTTGCTAAATTAGTTAATGGGGCAGCACAGCACAAAATCATCTTTTTATGCAGTCTGGACTTTGTGGGAAGGAAGATGGGAGACATGATTTCACTCTGCGTACCCCCTAGTTTACTAGAAGGTTCACTGATTTATTAGCTTTTACCAAACAAATAACTGATATTTTTTCTCTTTTGAAATTAGAAAGGGGGTTCAATCAAACCCATTACCCATTTAATTGTGACCTCAGACAATTCTTCTCTGAGCTACAAGTTGAAGTACAATAAAAAAATATTCATATTTTCTAGCCTGATTGTTGTGGTCCTAAAATATATGTTTTACATGTTTAACTATATATTAAAAATATAATTTAACTTGTAAAATTATTAAAATATTTTTAACAAAATAATATAAAAAATAATTTATTAAAAATATTTAACGAATTCATAAGTCAAACAAGTGTTGTCTAAACTATAAAATATGAATCCTTTTTCCCTAAATACCAACTTCAACTCTTAGGGAAAACCAGTGATTTGTAGGTATAAACAGGTGATAATTAGAGAAAGACTAATCATGTAACTAACCCAAGACTTCTGCTACCAAAGAGGAATGACCTCCATAGTCATAACTCAAAGGATTTGACCACAAATATGGACTGTATCTCTCACTTCTGCAGTAAACAACATCTAATTGTCAGAATAATCTACAATACAAAAAAGAAAAAAGAAAAAAGAAAAGGATTTAATGTTGTCGGTGCCCATGAAATATTTAAACTTTCTCTTTATCTTGTTTTTTTGATAGCATGATATTCTGTAAAGTATGCATAATCTTCTTTTTCTCAGGATTTTTAACTAATTTCATGTTTGACTTTGCAATGCACCTGATTGGCCACGCCTTAAGACAAGGTCGAGATTTTGAATTACACAAAATTCAAAATGTGTTTGTCATTGAATGTAATATGTAAGACCAGATACTATTTTTTACTTTTCCATATTTTAGGGGTTTACAAAATACTAGTAGTAGTATAGATGTATGAATATTGACCATTAATCTTATATATATTTACAAATTATATGCACAAATTATATCATATATACGTTACTTGAATTTAATATTTATTGTTTTTATTAAAATAATATTATTATTGAGTTCTTTAAGTCATTAACCCCACTCAAATAATCTTAAAATGTTATTTTCAAAATAATATCAAAACACCCAAGAAAAAAAAAATCACAAAATTAAATAGTCATAAACCCCACCCCACCTGCGCATTGATCTCTCTCTGATTTGTCTGTTGGTCCCTTGCTTTCATTATCATGGAAGGGAAAAGAAAAGCATACAACTTTAAGTCATAAGAAAGCAAAGATGCTAATACCCACTTCAGGCTCAGGAATCAGGATGACCAGCTATCAACAGAGAGACGACAAAAGAGGCAGGCACGACACTCTTAACTGCTCTCCTAACCTTAATCTTTCTCTTTATGTAGACCCAACAGATCCATTTCTCTCCACTCCACTGCGCCTATAGGCTATATCCACCCATTTCTTCATAAATATTCACAAAACAACTCTCTTTACATGCATGATATATCATTATTTTTTTGTTAGAGATTAATATGGTTCTTCTTTTTTTTTTTGCATGTCTAACAATAAATTATATATTAGAACTCTTAATTTTTTTTTTCAAACTTCTTTCTACTTATTTTAATATTTGAATTTAAAATTTTCAACATAACAACTTAAGCTCTTAAGTTCGGATGAATATGAATTTTTAAATTCTTATTTGACAACTTAAAATTTTAATGAATGGTGGTATCAAAACATTTGAACTTAAATGATATGGTGTTTCGAATCTTGATAGCTCATTTATTGATTCATTAAAACTGCATTTCAATATCATTGGGTATCTTATATGCCCTACAAGCCACTTAAGAAGCCATTGACATTGCTATATAAAAGGATATTGATATAAAAACAACTTTTTAAGATAATTTTTACATATTATTACATGACTATATATATACAATATTATACATCTCAATAAAGTAAAAAGAATGAATTAGTAAATAATATGTAAAATTATAAAAAGAAATTATATAAAAGTATTGTCTCTAAATTATTTTTGTTTATAAAATTCATAATTTTGCCACTATTGATGAATAATTACATTTTTAATCAAGTTACAAAAAAATATCTTGTTTAGTTTTGAACCTGATCCTTTGAATCAAGTGGCTTTGATTACTCTTATAAAGTTTATCCCCCATTTCCAAAAACAACGGTTCGAACCGATACTATGACAAAATGTTTAAAAAAAAAAAGTCTTGTCTAATTTAGTATGAAATGACAGTTTTACCATTAATAGATGACGAAGAGAGACTAAGGAATAGAGTTAAAAGCATCATTTTAGCTAGCTCCAAACTAGCACTAAAATTAGCATAAGTCCAAACTGATTTACTTGCAATCTCATCAAATAAAGACTAAAATTTAAAGAAACATGTACAAGGAAAAAATTATGTTATTCATGAAAATTTTCAAAAATAAAAAGGGAAAAAGGAAATAAAGCCCAATTCACCCCACATGGTGGACCAATGGATGGTACAAAGATAACAGTGAAGGTATGCTCAAAGTGGAGGAAACTCTACAGCTTTTTTTTTTGTTCATCTTTGACGTTCACAAATCACCAACCAAATTGCTTTTTACAACGAAACATGTAAAAGAAAAAGGCAAAAGGGGGAGAGATTGAAGGCGGGATTGTCGTCCAAAATTCCGTTGATTCATTTCAGTTCACCCCACCACCACCAGTCACTGACTCAGCCTTTGCCAGTTGCCAGAATCGTACCAATATGCATCAGTGACACTAATTCTGATCCTGTGCAAAAACAATTCACTCTTCTTTGTCTGTTTCTCCCTTTCAGTTATACGGAAGTGAATGCAGATGCAGGAGGTCTTGGGAAATAAGAAAAGTGTCGAAGTATGTGGGCGTGGGCCGAAGCAAACTCAAGAACAGAACATTCGATTTGAGGGTTTGTTAGCCCATACTCTAAAACAGCTTGGGCTAATGGTTCCGACTCCGAGATCAAAAGCTTGGAGTTGGGCAGTTGGTTCTTGTCCTTGTCCTAATGTCTTTGATTCCGATTGCAGGTCTCTTTATGGATTGTCAATTAGCCCAATTGAAAAGTGTTTCTCCTATATAAAAGTTGAAGGTAACCTAAATGGAATTTACTTTTGCTTTGATTGAATTATTATTCATTGGGGGGTTATATATATATATATATATATTGAATTGCATAATAAATGTAATAGCTTTTTTATTTCTTAACTCATTTTTACTTGTATAATATGTGATTTAAATTTAAAATTTTATATTTTTACTAAAAAAATTACTATTAAGTTATTTAAGTTATTAATAATCATTTACTTAAAAATTTTAATTTTGGGTTAAAGTAATAACCCTACAGTCAAGACTTAAAAAAAAAAAAAATCAAAGGTAACAAATGATTTTACGTCCATCTAGAACAGCAAAAAGGTAATAATAATTTTAGACTCTATTTAGTTTGATTGTTAAGATAATTGATAATTGTGGCAATCAAAGCGAATGATACCTATTATACTTAAGAGTAAGAGTTTGAAATCATTCTAAGTAAACACACCCTTAATAAGTGATTGAATTTTTTTTTTTTTTTAGTTTAAGCACAGAACAAACTAAAACAAATAATTCTAAAAGGGAAATGGTTTGATAAAAGGAAAAACTAATATGATTTTCTACTATCAACAATATTATAATTATAATAGCTTGTAGAATTGTAAGTGTTAACAATTATGATGTGGTATGTACTTAAAAAAAAAAAA